CTTGAACACATCTCTCTTGCTTACTCGTACTGTGGACCGGCATCGCTGACGGAAAGAGAGTACCACATTCAATCGCTTCTCACGTTGACAAGTCAACACGAGCAGGTTACTCTCGTACCGGACCCGCATACCGAGAAATACACCTTCCTTAGCCACTTCTATCTTTAGCCCGGCATCCGCCAACAAAGAACGAAGGGCTTCACGCTTCGTATCAGTAGTCAGAACAAATACCTTGCGTAGTTGCACATCGAATCCTGCTCGCAAGAGTAGGCATATCAACAATTTAAACATAAAAACAACTACGCGAATCGTACCACTGATAGCTATATCGTCGACGAACAACAGCATCATTAAAGTCCAGAGCTGTTGCAGTAAAAGAGCACACAATTGCTGAACACGCTCAAAATTAGTAGACCGGATAGAGCATACCAGACGACCAAGACTTCCCGACAACCCTGCCGGACCGAATACCACACCAAAGCAGAGTCGAGAGGAACAATAGGTCTCACCCGTGCCAGTACGGAGGTACAGAAGACTGTTCACACACCTACACTTGTAGAAGGCTGCTCGTGCGTCTAACAAGGTGGTGCACTCTCTAGCTTCAGCACGTAGTAAGGCGATGGGGTGAGACAACAATGGCACGTCGCTACTAGCAGGTGGCAGACATTTGTTGACTTCGCGAAAATCGACTACCAATCTGCTCTTCTTCGTACCACTAGGTGGAATGATGAACACTTGAGCAGCAGGTCGTTCGTCAAAGGACGACGTACTCGAAGTCCCCACAGTTGGAGTCCACCATTTGGACTCCACGTACTCATCCACCAGACGACGGTATTCCTCCTTCATCGGCTCGCTCAACCGGGAGTATAGGGCTGCCGCGTACTGGCGCCCTTTTTGCTCAGTCTTTTTGGGGGAGGGTACCCAGACTTCACATACATGAGTCTGCTGAGGGACGTCAATGACTTCACATGGGACGAGTGATCGGACTCTGCTTTTGTAGGCTCCATTCGTTTTTGGTATAATCTTCCACCCTTCTTGGACTACCCGATTGAGAATCTCATCAATTATGTCTGCCTCGTGCCCTCGAAGATCTGCACGAAGAATCTGGTCAGACTTAGTGGGAACGATTGACGAAATCTCCACACATCCCTGGGTAGCAAGGGTAGGACCCTTGTTGTCACTGTCACCGGTATGACGCAAAGCGTCAATATCAACATCGGTAATCCGAGCCACAGAGTCTATATCATTAACAGCTTGATCACTATGTCGATAAACACATTGTCCCTTAACATGCATATATGTCGCACCCTTCATCTCTAGCCCCCAACCCTCGATTAGCTGACGACCCGCTAGGATTAATAGCTGGCCGCAGCCTACCACACCCGGCGATGGAAGCACTCTCAGATCGCAATTGACAAAGTCGGATACCACTGTGTTACACTTATAACCATAAACAGCTACATCACACTCGATCTCGTGATGAATGGTTACTTTGTGGCCGTTAGCTAGAGCCACTAGAGAAGTACTATTACTACAGCTCATCGTGCAACCAATAGCTTCGAGAGCTTTTATAGCATCTTCTACACTAGAAACTAATATATACGGACGACCAGCGCCAGAATCTACAATGCAGCGAGCCTCCAAGAATGGAGCATCGATTGCACTGCTTGCAGAACGAATTATCACCCTCAACATCATTTCGGGTGGTA